GGTCGGGGGTGGGGGTCGGGCCCCGGGCGGGCCTCCTGGGCCAGAAGCGAGCGTCCACGTGGCGCCAGCGGGCACAGAGGGCGGGCGCGGAGCCGCCCCCCGCGTGCTTTGTACACTGGCGGGAAATGTTCCTGAGGAATGAGACACCTCTCCTGTCTCCTGCCGAGAAGCTCGCAGGCACATCCATCCCCAAATGCCCTCTTGGGCTGAGGGTGACAACCCTTGGACTTGTCCAAGACCTTCTTCCCGAAGGAATCGGACCCTCACTCTTCCCGTGGTAGCGGTGACAGCAGAGAAAACCCCTGAGTTGCGCGGTCTTTGGATCAGCAGGTGTTTAAAGGTTTCCGGGCTTAGCTAAGGCAAAAATATATCCACCTCCCCCCCCGCCCCGTATTTATCTTAATATGCGTCTCCAGGCAGAAGCAGTTGGACAGAACAATATATTAAAAAGCATATATAGTCAACCCTCTTTGAAAAGTCCGTTCAAAAAGTGATTAAGCAGAACTGCTTGATTTTGGAGTCCTTCCCACCGGCGGTGCCCAGTGGGCGCACGCGGCGTGGGGACTCCCTCTGTGTAGTCACGTCCCGGGAGGGGGTGTACCGCGGCGTTCAGGTTTCTTCCTAGACGAGGAGGGGAAATGTTACGGGGCTGTTGCTGTGAGGAGGACGTGGACTCTGTGAAGGCAGCAGCTTGCGGCTTGGAAGATGGAAGAGTACCAGAGGTCTACTGTAAGAGATGAGGTGGGGCTGACTTTTACATGTGACTTTTAAAGCCTTTTTAATTCAAAGAAAAGCTGTCACAAAGGAACAAACAATAGGTTCAAAATGCTAGGACTTCACTAAGGGCCATAACCCCTTTAGAAGGGGATTACAACCCAAGAGAAAGGTTTGGGAGGGAGGGTTCATCTGTCTTGTCAGGGAATTTCTCATATTTTCTAAAGTCAGGACAACTCTGCTGAGTAGCTTACCAGTGGGTTGTTAAAAAGAAAATTCATGGGGTCCAGCAGGTAGTGTGGTGGTTAAGGTGTTGGATTCCCAGGAGGTTGACTGTGGTTGGAGTTCCCATCTTGTGGCTTGAAACTCATGCTGGGTGCGTATGTGCCCCAAATCCCCAGAGAGTGGAGAAGGAATCATGGCGTGGCCATCCCCCTGGGAGGGGGGGGAGGGATTTCTTTTCTGTCTCTTCATCTCCCTCTGTCTCTCCAATGGGCACACGTGCCCTGTAGCCAAAAGAAAAGAAAAGAAAAAAGAAAACTTATGGTTAACAACATCATTAAGAACATCTGCCACGTTCTCATCTTAATAATGACTGAAACACAGACTGCTTCCAGGTGCCCGAAGTGACCTTGAGCACCTACTAAATACTTGCATTGATTTACATATATTATCTCACTGGATTCTCAGCATTCTCTGCTAGGTCACCTCACTTTTGAAAGGAGGAAATGGGGCTTAGAGGGGTTCAAATTACTTTCCTGGGGTCACCCACAGAGTAGGTAGTCCAGTCCAAGATGTCTGTGTGTCTCTGACTGAATCCTCGGAACTTTTATTCTCACCACACCGCTACCGTGATAAGAGACGGGATTAATAAACTGTAGGCATCTGCGTCTGGAGGAGTTTCTTCTGCAAAGTTTCACATCTGTAAACAGTTTCACAAAGTGGAGAAGATACACATACCTACATAGCTGTCATTCGTGAGCATATGTGATCAATGGGTATAAAAGTATAATTTAAAAATCAAACAGCAGGACCAGCAGGTAGCATAGAGGTTAAGGAGCTGGACTTGCACATGGTTGACTGTGGTTTGAGTCCTGGACCCAGCAGGTTGAAAATAATGCCAGGCGGGTGTGCATGTGTGTCCCAAATCCTGAGGAGATGAGGAGAAGAGATTGCAGTGTGGTCATCCTTCCTAGGGGCTGCTTTCTCATCTCTCTGTCTGGTGATGAGTGCATGCACCTTATAGTCATAAACCTAAAAAAAAAAAAAAGCAAGCAAATTTTTACAGAACACTATCGGGAGAGAAAGAGTTTCAAAAGGAATATTCGGGGATCTCAAACTTCAGTGTGCACGAGTCTCTGGGGATCTTACGGAAGCAGACTCAGTGGGGCCTCAGGGTCTGCGTTCTGATAGGAAGATGTGGCAGTTGCTGGTCCGTGCACTGCTCTTTAAGTAGCAAAGTTCTAGAGAAGATTTAAACCGAGTGTGTGAAGGAGTCACAGGTGGAAAAGAGGAGAAAAGAGTGAGACTGAAAGAGTCAGAAGGCTGGCGGGTTTGAATATCTCTCATGCTATTAGGTGTTCATGCTAATCTCTAGGCATTTATCTAATGATTCTCAATCAGTACATTTAGTTCACGGTAGACATTACATTTTTCCCTTTCCGAAAGTCACTTGTTTATGATGAAGATCCTGGCTCACTTCTCCCTGGATTTATCTATGCATTGTTCCTTTCAGACATCTGTGTTCTATCGCAGTACAAAAAATTTCTTCCCTGACTCAAATTTTTAATGGCCCATAATCAAGAATCATGTAACACAAGGATTTTCTGCTCAATAATGTACTGTGATTTGGCATTTTAAAGTTTTCAAATCAGGGTTCTTGAATTTCTCTAGCAGGTTGGCTTCGTTTGAAGGTTTTGCTGATGTAGAATGTTAAAAGAGAATTTTTTTAAGTATAGAAAAGGTGAGATAGGCTGATAGTGGAAATGCAATAATTTTCTGGGCTAGATAGATAAAAACATAAAGTGTGAAGTCAGTATGGAGGAAGAATAAAATATAATAGAAAAGGTGCATCCTTTACCTACTTTTGCTTACTTTTCCTTTTCTATTAACGTGCAAGTTGTAGCAGAATACTCCAGATATTAATCCCTTGCTAGTTTTAAACATTATAAACATATTCTCCCAGCCTTTATCATTCTCTCAACCTGCCTACAGTGTTCTTCATTGGATGGAAGTTCTTAATTTTGACATTGTGAAAAAAACACGAAGGATATTATATCCTTAGTGACCTGTGCTTTAAAAATCTCCTTTAAGAAGTATTTCTTGGGAACCAGCAGTTAGCGTAATGGCTATGTCACTGGACTCCCATGTAGTCGACCGCAGTTCACGTCTCAGACCCGGTGGCTTAAAACTCACGCTGGGCGCGTGTGCGTGTGTGCCCAAGATCCCGAGAGGAGAATGGAGGAGAAGGGATTGCGGCATGGCCATCCCCCCTGGGGGGTGATTTCTCGCTTTTTGTCTCTATGTCTCTGTCTGTCTGGCGAGCACACACACCCTTTACCAAAAAAATCTCTCCAAAAAAAAAAAAAGAAGTATTTCTCTACTCATAAGTCACCAAAATTCTGCATTTTCTGTAATATTTTAGTTTTATCTTTCATATTCAATTTTGCATAGGATGGGAGATATGAAGGCAGTTAAATTTTTCTTCTTTTTGAATTATTTTATTTAACTTTATTTTAATTTGACTAGAGAAGGACAGAATGAGAGAGAGAAAGAGAGAAAGTGAGAAAGCAAGCTAAGTCCGGGACTCGAACCATGGTTGACCATGTGGGAGTCCAGCATCCTTAACTACCATGCCACCTGCCTGCCCAGGCAGTTAAATTTTTCTACATAAAGTCAGCCAGTGTTTAGAAAGCTGTCTCATAAACCCGAGACTGGTGATCTTTTTTTTCTGTAAAGGGTCAGATGACAAATATCCGGGGCACTGTGAATGGTGCTGCCTCCGTTGCAACCACTGAACTTGGCCATTGCAGTGTAAAGGCAGCCACAGGCAATATGTAAGAATGGCTGCGTTCCACATGTCATCAAATAGTCTTAGTTTTTTTAAACATAGACTTTATTTTTAGAGCAGTATTAGGTTCACAACAAAATTAAGCAGAAGTACAGAGAGTTCTCACATTCTCTGCCTCCCCCCCATGCACAGCCTCCCCGGTAACCAACATCCCACACCAGAGTGGCCCATTTGTCATAACTGATGAGCTGCATCGACACATACCACCCAATGCTCACATGTCACACAGAGGTCCCTCTTGTAGTTGTGTAACCTGTGGGTTTTCACAAATGTGTGACAGAAGTCCACCACCCTGTCACGTAGAAGAGTCTCACTGGTTGCTATGGACCGAACACTTGTGTCTACCCCCTTCCCCACCCCAAATTCACGTGCTGAAGCCAAATATTCAAAGTGATGATATTTTGAGGTAGGGATTCAAAGGTAATTAGGTCTTGGGATTCATTCTCTGGTAAGACAGGAGAGAAATGATCTCTCTTCCCACCATATGAGGATGTGAACCAGGAGGAGCGCCCTCACCAGACACCAGATCTGGAGGAAGCTTGATCTTAGACTTTCTAGGCTACAAAACTGTGAGAAATAAATCCGTGTTATGTAAGGCCCCCTTGTTTATGGTGTTCTGTAACGCAGTGTGAACTGACTGAAACACTGCCCTAACAATCCTCTGGACTCCATCTATCCATTTTCTCCCTTTCCCATAACTCCTGGCATCCAGTGATCTTTTTACTGTCTTCATAATTTTTCCTTTCCCAGAGTGTCATATATCAATAGTTGGAATAATGTATACATATGCATTTAAGTTATTTCCATGTCTTTTCATGATTCAATAATTCATTTTTAAAAAATTTTGCCATAGGGTGCATCCACTCACCAGAGAGAGAGAGACAGAGGGAGAAAGAGCAAGAGACAGAGTGAGTAAGAATGCACTCCCCATGAAGGATGGTCATGCCACAATCCCTTCTCCATCTCTCCCTCCTGTGGGGATTCTGTGCATGTACACACACATGCCCAGCAAAATTCTCAAGCTCCAAGCTCCGGGATTTGAATTACACTGTCAGCCTTGTGGGATCCAGCCACCTTAAATACCATGCCACAGGCTAGCCCGATAATTTATTTATGTTTGGTATCAAATAATATGGCATTGAATGGATATACCACAGTATGTTTATCCTGTCAGCTACTGAAAGACACCTTGGTTACTTTCAAGTTTTGGCAATTATGAATAAAACTGCTAGAAACATTTTTATGCAGATTTTTGTGTAGATGTAAGTTTTTAATTCCTTTGGGTAAACACCAGTCATACTGCTGGACTGTGTATGATAAGAATATAGTTTTATTTTTTAAATGCCTGTAGGGGTCAGTAGTTAATGTAATTGCTATGTCGCTGAACTCCCATGTAGTCGACCGTGGTTCGAGTCCCGGACCTGGTGGCTTAAACTTACGTTGGGCACATGTGTGTGCGTGCCCAGATCCCGAGAGGAGAATGGAGGAGAAGGGATTGTGGTGTGGCCATCCCCCCTGGGAGGTTATTTCTCACTTTCTGGCTCTCTCTCTTGTCTTTTTTGGCGTGCGCACACGTCCTATAGCAAAAACCTCTCCAAAACAAACAAACAAACAAACAACAAAAAAAAAAAACCTGCCTGTCAATCAAAGTAGCTATAGTATTTTGCATTTCCACCAGCAATAAATAAAAGTTCCTATTGCTCCATATGCTCACCAGCATTAAATTCTCCAAGTCTGGGATTTGGGCTATTCTAATAGATATGTAGTGACATTTTGTTACTATTTTAATTTGCTGTTCCCTAGTGACATTTGAGCATCTTTTCATATCCTTCTTTGTTATCTGTGCATCTTCTTTAGTGAGGTATCTGTTCAGGTTTTTTGTCCATTTTTTAAAATATTTTTTTCATTTCTAAATTTTTTTCCTATGATAGAGAATATGCATGTGGATGTCTACATGAGAAAGAACAGAGAGAGAGAGAGAGAGACACCTTCCACAGGGTCTGGTCAGGCCACGATCCTCCTCTTCCAAGAGGTTTTTGCTATAGGGCACGTGCGCTCGCCAGAAAGACATGGGCATGCAAGCCCGGTGTGAGTTTAAGCCACCAGGTCTGGGACTCGAACTGCAGTCAACTACATGGAAGTCCAGTGACGTACTAGACTTCAGACATACTACAACTGATGTCAAACTCCACATGTAGTTCATTATGTCATCTGCTGGTCCCCCCAAAATAATCTTATACTTGTTTTAAACCTAACATTGCAGCATCTGGAGTCATTACTATGATTGTCACTAAGATTAAACAATGATATTTCAATGTCTTAAGGCTATCTTCACTTAGCCCTTAAAATCAGAAATTTTAAAAAATCAGTTTTTAAAAAAGTTGCTTTGAGAAAACATTTATTGCACATTATTGAATCCATTTATATTTGAACAAATAGTGCACAAAAGAAATATTCCTGTTGTGAAAAATCCTTGCAACTACTAATCAGCTGTTTATGAGTAGAGGCTATTTCCGTGTCTTCCTGAGGCATGCATTTCCCACTTATTTTTAAATTTTGAGTAGAACAGTTTTCCGAAGTAGTTTTAATGTGAGTCACAGAATCTTGCCCCATGAAACCAGATCTCCTGATCCCCAAATGCTTTACTGTGAGACTGCATGTGCCTCTGAAGGTCATAGTATATCACAGATTCTTACAAAGCTCCTCAAATACCAACGAAATAACCATTGTTGGATTGAATGTGCATTCAATCTATGTGCTTTACTTCTCATATATGTATAAGACACTGTCTCAACTTTGTACTTTAACACTGAAGGAGGAGAAAACACTTGTAAATGAGCATTAAAAATCTTGATCTGGATCTGCCCATGGTGTGTTGGTTAGAGGCAGCTGGATCCCACATGGCTGATGATGTGGTTTGAATCCTGAACCCAGTAGCTTGAATAACACAGTGGGCATACGTGCCTGCCCAAAATTCCAGAAGGAGGTGAAGTGGAGGAGAAGGGATTGCAGCTTGACCATTCCCTAGGGCTGCTTCATTCCCTGTCTCTCTCTGTCTCTCTCTCTCTGGTGAGCTCATGTGCCCGCTGGCAAAATTAAAGACAGAACCCTTGATCCTCCTCAGAACTAAAAGCAAAATCAAATAGCAATTGTCCTTCGGAAGCAAACATTGCACTGTTAGCTGGTGATAGTTGCTTCTTTGTCCTTTATGAGAAGACTCTAAAATGCAGTGATTACTGAATATACAGGAGCTATACCTACTTTCTCAGGGATGGACTAAAGAGCAATCCAGGTCAGGGTAACTGGGTTGTCTGAAGTCACTGTCAGACGAGGGACTGTTTCCCACCGAGGACACAGTCCACAGTCAGAACATCTGGAAGCAAGAGTGTAAGAGCTAGCGAGGGACAGAGAAAACACTTTCTAAAGCAATGGCAAAATACAATAGCTTCCCTCCCCAACGTTAATTTGTTAAACAACCCGTTGTAAAGCTGCACAGACAATAAATATTGCTTTAAAAAATATAAGCATAGTTCTTGGTGAATTGTAGTTACCCACTAGCTCAAAATAATAGCTTGTTTTCAAACATATTACAACTGATGTCAAACTCTCCATGTAGTCTCTCAACTCAGCTACATACTATGTTTTCCTCAAGAGCATGGTAAACCTGAGAGCTACTTTTTACAACAGCAGAATAGAGATATTGGAGGGTCATCTTCTAATCTGTATTTTCCAGAGTTGGGTAGATCTTTGCACTCGGATATAAATGTACGAAGCTCAGTGTCTGGAAAGCCATCTTGTTGGTAATGCTATAAATAGAAGGGAGGGGAAAAAAAGGTTCTCATTAACAAGCCCCTTGAAAATAGCTTTGTACCAAATTCTAAATGGATCATTTGTCAGAGGAAGGAATTTTTCTAGAGAGATAGTTTAGTCACTTTTAAGTATTTTCAGGAAGATGCATCTTCTAAAGTCACACTTAGATCAGGCTGGGGTACAGTGATCCTGGGATTTCCACAGTTGCCATCCTGAGCTCTCATTGGCAAGTGAACTGCAACCCATTAAGGGCATGTTGAAATGGAGCCTGAACTCTCCAGGGAGAACTGAGCCACCTGCATCTCAAATCTGAGACCCTCCGTCACCACTCTGTCCTGCAGCCCTGTGACTTCCAGGTCAGTGAAGCAAGCATCTTGAATGAAACCTGGTTCAAGCCACAAGAAGCCCAACTGATCCAGATTAGTGGGATGTTGTTGGGGGCTGCAGAGTGGATATTCCTAGTCCTTCCCAGAAGACCTCAGTATGGCCTGGGATGCTCCTATGCTGTCAAGGTGGTTGACCACAGTTCGAGTCCTGGACCCAGAAGCTTAAGACTCATGCTGGGTGTGTGCGCAAGTGTGCCCACGATCCCAAGAGGAGAATGGAAAATAAGGGATTGTGGTGTGGCCATTCCCTCTGGGGGGTGATTTCTCACTTTCCGTCTCTCTGTCTCTCTGGCAAGCACACAAACCTAAAGCAAAAATCTCTCTACAAAAAAAAAAAAAAAAGAAAGAAAGAAAAAGAAAAGAAAAGAAATGAACACTTCATCACCTCCATTCCACCCCCACTCCTTAGATACTAAGTTTCACTTCTACTATCCAGGTTTTAGAAGATTGCTATTGTGGCTCTTGATAACCTACCTTAATTGTTTCATATGTGTCGGTGATCAGTGCAATGAAAAGACTTAAAATCATGTATATAAAGAGGCTGATGAATGAATAGAGGTAAATTCTGCTAAACAGCCAGACCAAGTAGCTTTTCTGCTGCATTTTTGCAAATGTGGCAAACATGTCATCTCCATTTATCAGAGAGAAAAGGCACTCAGAGACTGTGTTCAGAGAACGAAACTAGAAAAAGAAAAAAATTTGCTTTATTCCACATTTCTTCCCATTAAAGACCTTTGCTCATGACATCACATTATTATAAATATTGTATGACTAGTATATTATTAAAAATAATGGCACCTGACAACCAAGTTACACTTTTCAAGGTAATCACAAGCGTGTACCCTGTGACGTAAATGACACACATACGTTTTCTGTGTTTTCTGGGACAAACAGCTCTTTTTTGGTGCGCCTCCGAAATGGAGCAGACTGAATTAAAAGCAGAAGGGGCCGATGGGCACCTTCAGTGCTTTTCTGTCAAGCCTTAGGCCTCCCTTTGCCTTCACAAAAAAGAGATCCTTGAAATGCTCCTGCAGATACCAGGCCCCAACCAGGCACGTTTATATGGCTCATTCTGAAGTTCATTCCGTTTAAGACAATGGCACCATCAGCAAGACTAGAGCTCTGGTAACCAAATTTTCGAATATTTCTGTAAGTCTCTCCTTCTATTCCTTTTCTGTAACAACAACAAAGCATTTGGCACGCTTTGAGAAGGCTGACCTAAACCGCCTGCTCTAGTATATCTTGATGGATTTAATTAACTACACTTGACTTCACTGGTGGTAAAGTGGACTTATTTATCTGACATATTCCACAAAGGGATTTGAGGCAGCTGAGTGACTCAATTCTTCTTTCAAATTGGTCACGCTTCATCATTTAAAGTATAGCAATAAATATATTGGGTTGTCGGGAAAGTCATGACAGTGCTTTTCTGTCAAGCCTTAGGCCTCCCTTTGCCTTCACAAAAAAGAGATCCTTGAAATGCTCCTGCAGATACCAGGCCCCAACCAGGCACGTTTATATGGCTCATTCTGAAGTTCATTCCGTTTAAGACAATGGCACCATCAGCAAGACTAGAGCTCTGGTAACCAAATTTTCGAATATTTCTGTAAGTCTCTCCTTCTATTCCTTTTCTGTAACAACAACAAAGCATTTGGCACGCTTTGAGAAGGCTGACCTAAACCGCCTGCTCTAGTATATCTTGATGGATTTAATTAACTACACTTGACTTCACTGGTGGTAAAGTGGACTTATTTATCTGACATATTCCACAAAGGGATTTGAGGCAGCTGAGTGACTCAATTCTTCTTTCAAATTGGTCACGCTTCATCATTTAAAGTATAGCAATAAATATATTGGGTTGTCGGGAAAGTCATGATGCATTTTTGCATAGAATATGTCATGACTTTCCCGATGAGCTAATAATATTACCGTCAACATTTTAAGGCTGAATAACAAGATAAAAAGGGTTCGTTTAAAGAGGATAACAAGCCACTGGCACTGTTCTGAAAGCTTAAGAGTAATAGGGGAAAAAGTTGTGTATCAGCACCTTATCATGGTAAGGCCCCAGCACGATCCATCCACAGAAGCAATAGCCTAAATAAATCATAGCTGCACAGCAGCAGAACCTGATGACATTGGGCAGCGCTGCCTGAAGTGTCAAAATCAGGAGCTGGGAAAGTAAAAGAGACCATCAGAATCCCTCTGCCTGTCAGCTCAAGTGCAGTAGCTTTGAGACAAACAGCAAGGGCATGGAGATCCATGGATTCCTTACATTGTACTTCGCAAAGAAACCGAGGTATCGGATGACTCCGAGCCACACGAGCATGGTAGAAGTCCCAAGGAGTATGCTACAGATGTCATAACTTGTTAGACTCTAGGGCAGGGCAGAAAAATATCATCAGAATATACAGCAGAAATGCATTTGAGCAAAAAACATTTACTGAGGTAACTAAATGGGAACTGTCCTAGCTGTGAAGGGTAAAGCGGTGACCAAACCACAACATTTTCTGCCCTTGTGAAGCTTACATTCTTGTGAAGGAATGCAGAGAGAAACGACAGAAATAAGTTCATAGAACTTTCAGTACATTAGCTGATGGTAAGTGCTGGGGAGAAAATTCAGGAAAGGTGTTTGTGACCTTAAATAGCATTATCAGAGAAGATCTCACTAAAAAGATGGCTTTAAAAAAAAATCAAGATTTTGAAGGGAGTGATTAAGCAAGTCAAGCAGTAGGGGAGACCTCTCCAGACACAGCACCTGCAAGTACAAAGGCCCCAAGGCAGGAGGGTATCTGGCAAGATGGTGAGTCTGACTGGAGCAAGCACTAGAAAGGGATTGTGGTGTGGCCATGGAATTATAGAGGAAGGGAATGGGTAGTACAGGACCTCATGGGCACTTAACAACTTTTGTCTTTTTCTCTGACTACACTGGGGAGAACTGAGAGCCCTAAATAGGAGTGATAAGATGAAAGGTTGGCCGCTGTGGTAGGGAGCTGATTGTTGGAGAAGTAAGGAGGCTATTACAAGAACATAGATGAGAGTTGAGAGTGATGTTGATTTTTGAAGTTAGAACAATAGTATCTCCTCTTGGATTATATGTGGGAGAAAGAGGAGCGAAAGAGAGAGGAGACTTTGATGCATCTCTGGTTTTGGCTTGAGCGACTAAAACTGGAAAGACTACAAGAGCAGCAGCTTTGGATTATGATAGTGGTGATCAAGGAGTGAGGTTTTAGGTATGTTCAAACTGAGAGGAAAAACAGGCATCCAAGTGGAGATGTGAGATAGAAAGTAGGGTACTTGCGCCTGCAGGGAAGAATTCAACCTGGAGATCTAGATTTGCAAATTATTGGCAAATGGATACTATTAAGTCATAGGACCAAATGAGATTATCAAGGCAGTGGCAGAAAAGAGATACCCAAGCATTATGCCTTGAAGCATTATAAGCATTGTGCCTTAGTAGGCTGGTGAGACGAGGCTGGCAGGTGGCATGGTGGTTAAGGTGGTGGCGCTCACATGGCTGACCATGGTTTGAGTCCAAGACGTGGCAGCTCTCTCTCTCTTTTTGACTCTCTCTCTCTCTCTCTCTCTCTGACTCTCTCTGGTCAATCTGAGTAATAATAATATTAAGTAAAATTAAATAAATAAATATTTAAAAATAATAGGCTGGCGAGATGTAAGGAAGCCAGCAAAGGAAGTCAGAGAATCAGCCATTGATTTGGAAGAAAAACCAAGTAATAGCCCAATGGAAAAGTGTGTCAGCAAACAAAGAGTGCTTGGAGTGTCAAAAGCTGCTGATAGGTCTAGCTGAGGAAAAATAACTGGTGGACGTGTCAACCTGGGAGAGCATTGGGAAGCACTTTCCATGGAGTGGCAGGGCTGCCTGATTGGAAGAGATATAGGAAAGAATGGGAGAAGCAGAAGCAGAAACAGGATTAACGACTTTTTTTGAGATCTTTTGCTATATAAGGTGGAGTAGAGAAATGCAGGCAGTAGCTAGAGGGAGATAGAGGGTTGAGAGGTTATCGTTTTAGAAAGGAGCAGAAACACGCTCATGGGAACGGCCTGGTAGAGAGGGGAAACTGATGATGTTCAAGAGAAGGAAGAACAGCTGGGGCTGTCCAGTAGGCAAGTGGGAGGGCTGGCCTTGCATAGTAGCCTACATAATACAGCCACAGAAACAGAAAAGGAGAATGTATGAACACTGATGCTGGCAGGGGAAAAAATGAGGTGGACGTTGGAGAAAATATTGGGTTTTTCCATTGTTTTTGTAAACCTCAACTCATCAGCTGAGAATAAGGGTAGGACATGGGTGCTAGAGGTTTTAGAAGAAAACGTCCAATGATGTCTATGAGACGGGGGAGTAAATGATCTAGAAAAATACAGAAAAACTCTTCAAGAGATTCATTGAGGTTAATGATAGTTGAGGTTGGTAAAAATAATTTGCTGCAAATCCTCCCTTACTTCTCCTTTTGTTCTTTTTTGTTGTTTGTAGGGTTTGGGGCCCAAAGTTAAACATCTATTCCAAAGATATATACTATAGCCACTTACAGTAGCAGTTGTTCAGAATAGACCTAAACCCACTCTCTTCTCATTAAGCACATGCCTGGGCTGTATTCTTTGGCTCCTTTTGTAGTGAGGATTGACTACTTTCTATCCGATGGATATGAGCAGAAATAAAGTCTGACGCTCTTGAGCCAAGGCTCTAAGACGGTGGGAACACTTACACTATACTGTGTTTTTGCTTCCCAGAGGCTGCAGCCATTTGTGAGGTGACCCAGAATCAGTGATGTAGTCGGAGCAAGCCATTGCAGAGTGTCAGTGAAGCAAATAGAAGGAGCTTGGGTCCCTGAGTGACTATGTGGAGCTGAACTACTCACCAACCTGGAAAACCCACTGTAACTGTTGTATAAATAATCTCCTGTCCTACCTGGGACCTTGCATTTAGGGTCTCTGCCTAAGCTGATAACTGACTCCTTGCATCGAGACTAGGAAAACAAGTTTGAGAAAGATTAGTTTAAAATGATAATTGTTTTTTTAATTTGATTTTTGTTTGGGGGGAGGATTGATTTCTAGGCTAACTTTATTAGTCTTAACTAAAAATGGATAACCTTGTAGCACAGCAACGGGAAAACTAATAACATGAGAGCATTTTCACTCTGAGTGGACTGATAAAACAAATGCAAGCACTCACACAATAGTACCTTAACCTTTCTCTGTCCTGCCCACTCTTCTTTAGCTGAAGAGTCCGGCATTTCTTTTAAGAATAAAAACAACAACAACAACAACAACACAAACCCCTCCTATCTTAGGTTCTTGTGTGTAAGAATTCCCAGGCCCCACCCAAAAAGTTCGGATTTTGTAGGTCTAACAAGCAGCATCTTTCTCAGAAACCCAAATGATTCTAATGCAGCAGTTTGCGGATTACGCTTTGAAAGCCCTTCCTGAGAGATTTGCTGACTAGATTTAAGAAAATTATTGCTACTGATTTCAAATTGTTTTGATGTAAAGTTTTGGAAGAAGTCGTTTATCTTGAAAATGCTTACATTCTAGGAAAACACATTACTATTAGCCCGAATCTGCTTACATTCTGGAAAAACACATTACTGTTATTCCAAATCTGATACTAACAATGGCATGATTAGGAAAAAAAAAATTTACCTTGGCTTGGATTTCCATTTTCAGAATTGATCCAATGACGGCCAGTATGTCACTAATAATAATCATAATGTACCATCCATTGACAAATTCCATTTGATCAGAAACAGAAACTTCTTTTTTATAATGGTGGAGGAAAAAACTGACAAATTCCTTTAGAGAGAAGAGAGGAGGCCTGGTGACTTCCTCTACCAATCAAAATGTCAGCAGCACTCCCAGAACTCAGCAACCCCTACCTGCTGAAGCTGAAGTCCTCTAATTACAGATCTAACGCAGAGGACCAACGAAGCCAAGCAAGTCAGGATGACAAAGGCATCAAAGATCATCATGTAATGAGTGTTCTTCTGAACTGGAAGAGAATAAAGAGCGAGAATTACATAGCATACCTGTAATGGAACATGTATATGTGACCTCTACTGCTTTTTAGAATTACTTAGATAATTCAAGCATTCTTTCCAGTAAGACAACAAAGAAAGAAGCTCTAATAAACATTCTTTCCATTAGTATTTAAAGGAGATTAAAAGTCCTTCTTTTAAAAGTCACCATCAATCCATATTTAGTTATCAGCTTATGACCTTCTGTCCTTAATACATTAGCCTCCCTGCACATTCTACTAAAACATACTTATCTATGTATAGAGTACTCAGTAAGCACCCACTATGTGCCAAGAGTTGTTTTAGATGCTGGGACACAATGGTAAGCGAGACAGACAAGGCCCCAACCTTGTAGAATGAGACAAGCACAGGGGTAAAGGGCACATAAACAAAGCACTTTCAGGTAGGAATAGGTGATAAAAAGGATAAAAAAAAAAACCAAACCGATAACAGTTAACATGTATTGGGCAATTTCTTGACAGGCATAATCCCAAGCACTTTATATGTATTAACTTACTTGATCTCACAGCAACCCAATGAGGTGGGTGTGATTACCCCCACTTTGCAGGTGGGAAAATGGAAGCACACAGAGGTCACACAATTTACTCAAGGTTTCACGGCCAGTAAGTGGCAGAATCAGGACTGAAACCTTTGTGTTCTGTTTCCAGTGTCCATCACCCTGTATCAGTGGGTCTCGGCCTCCCTTGGGAACTTGGTAGATATGTACATTCTCAGGTCCTACTCCAGATCAATGAAGCTGAAACTGTAATTTTCCAAACCCTCCCGATAATGCCAATGTTTATGAACCATTGTTTAGGCTCTATATGAGGGAGTTTGGTGTGAGGGAATGGGGAGAAGAGAGGTTTATATATATCGCCTAGCAAAGGAAGGCCTCTGGAACAGGACCCTAGGTTTTAGCTGAAACCCAAATGATGATGAAGAGCCACCCAGGCAGAGATTCTAGAGAGTCAAAAGTCAAAGTCCTGGCCAGCATGAGTAGTCAATGAAGAGCCGGGCAGAGGCCTCACCATCACATGGTCTGCTGAAGAACTTGGGCTCTATTTCCCAGGTTAAAGTGCTCTACACAGATAAAAAGATAGGATACTGAGACTAGTTCTGTGATGAAACATCCTATTAATGGTTGCCAAGGGGTATCTAATTGCTACACAAATGACTGAATTTACTTTAGCCAAACTTAAAATCCAAGAAACAAACATTTGAGAGAAAGTTTATACGCCAGGCGCTTTCATTTTCCCTATTGTAAAGTTTGTGGAGAAGCACTGCAATACAGGGGACAAAACAGGCTGTGTTTTAAATGAAAAAACTTTGTGATTGAAATAAAAATTTGTGACTCAAGAGCCTCATGTATTTGATGTTACCTATTAGTGAAAAGAATACTATGATGAAAAAAACTTTATTTTCTCTTACTATTTCATTATGACTTCTGAACTTGACAACCAATTAGTAGGAAACCCTAAAACAGTGATTATCCAAGTCTGGTCTGATAACAGCCTATCTACTCATTCCTGTATCCCATCCCAGACCTACTCAGTGTCTTGTATGGAGCTGTCAAAACTGCACCTTAAAGGTTATCCAGCTTGATTCTTCTGCTCACTGGAATCTGAGCACTGCTGGCCTAATCATTAAAGTCCAGCACAACATGGCATTGTTACTTAGGAGGGACCAGTGAGTGAGAGAAACTCGTTCCAGGCAATTTCCTCCAGTTCAGCTCCAAAATTCTTGATGGTACTCCGTCCACATCTGAGTTCTTGTCTGTATTTCTAACAGTCACTTTCCACATTTAGCCTACTTTTTAACCAGGATGGAAGCCACTCTCAATGTATGGGATGCTTCAGGGTCAAATTCCACCTTGTCTGTCTGGCCACGGGCACTGAGCATCATTTCTGAGTTGAGTTTCTTCATCTGTAAAAATAAGGATCCTGTCTACTTCTAAGATATTTAAAAATATTAAAATGAGGAAAGTGAAAGTGGAACCGCATCTGCAGAATGCACTCAGTAGCCATTGGTCGGGTGTGTATAGGCTCTCGGTAAGGGACTGTGAGTTCGCGCTTGCTGCAGAGTGGGCCAGTGAGGACACACAGAGAAGGTAAGGAAGTCATTTCAGTCGCTAATATCTGATGTGCTGCCTGGAGCAGCAGATGTCCACAATGAGTTGATCGACCTGCGACCAGTTAGAGACTTGGGAATGGTCGAATCCTTTATTTGATCTTCCACATATCCTGGAGGTAATGATTTAATAAGCCTTTTAAATGATTTCACAACCATTCTATACGTTAGTACAGGTCATCACTTACTTGATCCAGACACATGCCAGTCTTTACATTCTCTGATGGAAATGTCATTATCTAGACTTATTTTAATTCTTCCACTATGGGCTTTGTTGTCAAATGTTATCTGTGAAGACAAGAAAAGGGTCAAAAACATACCTAGCATGTTTTTCCCCCTTAAGTTTCTTTCTTTCATGAGAGAGAGAAAAAAAAAGAGACTCAATGGGGTCTTGCTACATCATGAGCACTCCCCCCCCCCCCCCCCCCCCTCCAGCCCGCCTGCATCACAGGGGGCCGG